AATTCAAAAATGTAATTTAGTCACACATTAATTAATATTACATAAAAAACGCTGTATTCATTCACATCGTGTTTGTATATACCCAATTATCACTGTTGTCAAACTCTCCCATAGAGTCTCATAGAAAAGCTTTATAAGTGCGCCCTCTGCTGTCGCTTACATGTATTGCAGACAAGCGTTCTCCAACGAGTGTTGAAGTCTTTCCGGGTCAAAGTTGATTCCCTTCCGTCCACATGTGATTCACATGTTTACATGGGCATTTGTATTCGGAGGAACATACTGGTGACACTGACATCGGAAAACATTTATTGCATACTGTTATAGTACAAGCATAGCGCTGCTATGTCGGACAGTGAAGAAGAAGCTTGTGAACTCCGGACAGTAAAGAAGAGAGGTGGGTGCTAACTAGCTAACACTGTTCAGTCTTTTCACTACATACAGTGAACTCAAATATGTCAATGGAAAGTATCTCATTTTATTTTAATCTCTTTTTTTCCTCACAGTTTCAAAGTACAAGTGTCCGGCCGACTTTGTGTCCATGCCGTATGATTCCTCTGCAAGTGTTTTACAGGACGAAGATGGAGAGAAGGAATTATGGATCATCAAAGCTCCAGCTCGCTTCGATCCTAAATGGTACAAAATACCCTAGCTTGTTGTTTTAAATAGTTTATTGCAAATAATGTACAGGTTTGCTAATAGGATTTCTGTCATAATTTGAAACCAATCCTGAGGAGATCTCACACAGCAATAATAAAATGTAATAATATTACATTAATATAATGCTAATGTTTTTTTTAATAGTTAATTTTATTTTTATGCAAGTAGTAAGTAATATTTAATAATGCTTAAAATAATAATAGAAAATCTACAGGAGTCCAGTAAATTCCAGCATTCCTGTACGTTATCATTATAATAATACTTTTTAAAATATTTTTATTAATAGCAGAAAATCTATTAGTAGATACATTACATTATTTTAGAACTCATTTACTTGGGTATTTATGTTTTTTAATAATTTTGAAAATATTGACAAGGTTCCCATTGTCATGGAAAACCTGGAAATATTACTGTTTTGAAATATCAAAATTGTGATTGTCTTAAAAGTCACAGAACGCTCTACTGTGAATATACATTCTTCAAATCATGCTGTGCTTTGAAATATTTCATTTAGGTAGATAATTGTTCTTTTTAAATGCTCCTGTAGATCAAATAAAAAATTATGTCTGTCCATTTAGGGTAACTGCTTGTGTGTTACTGGCTTAATGGTTTAAATGTATTAAATATACTGCAAGAAATCATCGCTAAAATTATTTGTAAAATTCATATTGAAAAACAAAACCCTTTATTAAAATTTGCATAATTAAAAATGTGATTTATCAACTTAATAATCATTGTTTTGTGTCCTTTGCAGCTTTGAAAACCTCCAAGTTCCCTTATCAGGACTGGAAATGGTCCAGTCTTCTGGCGCAACCTCTCAGATCTACAGCGTCCTCAGCAGCAGAACGGCACCATCAGATCTCGATCTGCTCATTTCCAAAGGGAAACATCAGAAGCCTGTCCTCTGTTCCTCCGGCTTCAGTGGAGTCCTCAAGATCTCAGAGAGCTACGGAAACTGCAGTGAGAACCAAGGTCCCGTTCCCATCCCGGCCGCTCCAGCTCCATCTATCCCAGCTGGTCTCAGGCAACGTTTCCAGCCTTTTGGTAGTTCCTTTGCAGCTCACGTGCAAGATGAAGTCTCCGTAGTCTCTCCAACTGTTCCCAAGAGAACCAGTCAGGAACCGATCGAGGGCGAGGAGCGGAAAAAGAAGAAAAAGAAAAAGAAAGACAAGAGGAAAGAGGACAGTGAAGCAGTTTTTATCAAAGAAGAACAGACACAAATTGTCTGTGATCAGTTAGAATTATCTGAACTTAAGGAGGAAGAGCCGACGGAGGAAAGGAGGAGGAAGAAGAAAAAGGTGAAGAAAGAGAAGGAAAGACAAAGTGAAGACATGGTTGATGCAAGTTTAATATCTAAAATGGAGCCACTGGATCCTTCATATGATGATTACATTGACACCCCAGGGAAAACTAAAAAGAAGAAAAAGAAAAGTAGTCGACATGAGTAGACTGTCATAAGAACTAGGGATGTTTTATCAATTTGTCGTTCACAAATGCTTACTGTGATATTTAACTGTCAAATACAATTGAAAAAGTGTGTCTGTCTTAAAATGATTCAAGGTTTCTATGCAACATTCAGTATTACCTTATGCATTGGTTCATTCTTCTACTTAAAATCTTTTTTTTTTCGTGTTTTAATGTCATTCAAGCAACTGCACATAACAGATGCTATTTTATGTAATAGACCTTAGTCAGGTTAGTTGCCATATTGAATATTTAATATTGAAAATGAGTCACTAAGAGATAGACATACAGTTGTTACAGTGGTATGCACTGTATAAAGGTCCTTGACCATGTAATAATCTCAACTCACAGTTAATGTGAGTTTTGTTTGTACTGAAAGTCCCCTCCTACGCCCCCCAAAAAAGATGTTTTGTGAACTGAACAAATGCTATGTTCTTAAACAACAGTACAATCCATTGAATGCACTGTACATTTGTCCCTTACAGCCTTGTTTCCATTCTTGTTAAAAAAGTATGGTGCTTCCTTAATTAAGGTCTATACAGGCAGGCATTAAAATCACATCATTCATTCACTCACCTTCATTATGTCATTCCAAACCTGAATGATTTTATTCTGTGGAGCATTAAAAGAATATATAAGATTTGACTTTCATTGTATTGACAAAAACCCTGAGGCGTTTTTTTTTAAAATTCCTTTTTGTGTTCATGTTTGGGGGCGAACTATTTCTTCAAACACCGCGTTTCTGCTGTTCGCCGGTAGGTGGCGACAGAGCTCCCTCTGCCGGTGAGAACGCTGAAGGTCCGCCGCTTGTTCTGCACTGAGGTATGGCCATGTTTTCTAATGAGCGCCGGCACGTTTGCCGCCTGCAAATTCGGTTTCTCTGCCCCTCCCACTGCGCACATGCAGGTAAAGCTCAAAATCCCGGGGTCCAATGGGATCACATGAGGAATTTCACACAGGCGCTGCTTACATCTGCGTTCATCAGGTATTTAAAGAACGTTGCACCTGCTGATACTCTCAATGAGAACTTTTTGTGAATTAAACATGATATATCGTCACATAAACTATATATATATATATATATATATATATATATATATATGTGCACACCAGTGAATAATATACCAATTCAGGGGTCCTATGCACTAAACCGATGCAAACGATAAGGTTCGGGTGGGGGCGGGATGGGGGTAATGATTTTTTTCTTTTTTTGAGCCAATCTCGTTTGTGCACACCCTCCCCCTTTTCACTGCAGCGATTCTTGTCTTTCTCCACCGTGGCGAACTCTCTCTCTCTCTCTCACACTCACTCCTCAGAGTGCTCCACGCGGCCTGCAGCATTTGGAGAGGGGGAGTTACCATAGCAACGCGGACTTGCAAAGGACTACGGAGCCGCGCGTGGCGTTCGGAATGGGGTTCGATAGGTGCCTTCCCCCAATTAGAGAAGCACCAGAGTCCACTAGAATACACAACATTTTCTTCACGTCAAGACGCGGTAGTCAGTATTTCTACTTGATAAATCCTATTCAAGTGTTTGTTTGGGATGAATTACTGCACCAGAAACTTGTTTGCATACTAATGCGTTGACATGACTCACTCAAAGCAGTTGATTCCAAAATGTGGCATTGAGCCTCCTCTGCAGCAGCAAGGAATTCAGGGGGCTTTTCAGTGCAGTTTCACCTCTCATTTACATCTCATTTACATTTCTGTAAACACCTTCTTGAACGCAGAAGTATCCAAAGCCTATGGGCGAGACTTCCGGTTCATTAGCGCAACAAGAATAACAACAACAGCGTGCAGAAAGTTAAAACTGTTTGCACTACAAACCAGTGTGCTCATAATTAAGATAAAACATTAAAATAATATGGTAAGACACATTCATTTGCAATATCAAGCAGCAAAACCAGCTGTTTTGTACAGCTAAAAATAACTGGATGCTGATGAGACTGGAAGCCAGACCGATAAAATTTACAAATGGCCGCACCCGCTCTTTTAGGAAAAATAAGGTGGTTGTTTATTTATTTAGTTATTTATTGTGTGGTTGATTGTATTGATGAAGTCTGGAGGAATGCAATTGGATTCGGCTCCTGCATTGCAGAGAATAAAATATGTGATTCTACTGTGCACACCCAAATCAAGTCAGACATATGTTATAAAAGCAGCAGGTCTTTCAGCTGGTTGCCATGACAACCACAATGGCATTTTTTCCTCATTGTTTCCTTACCCACCTCTATGAATGCATTCGTATTATGAGAGCACTCAGTGACTCGGTTTCTGTCACTGACCAAGATGTGCTGCCTGAAATATTGTTTTATTTTTATATAAAGAAGAAAAAAAATCCACAAAGACCAGCCTTTCAAAACAACTTTTTCTGGGATGATAAAGGCTGTAGTGGAGATCGGCCAAACTCAACAGATGCCTGTGCACAATTGTGTCCTATATATATATATTGTAGTCTAAATAAAAACAAGAAAATTTGTTGAAAATATGCCATTTTCTCTCTCTGCCCAAACGAAAACCCAACAAGCCTTATTTTGTTTGAGGCCAGGGTTCGTGGTGGCGACTGCATGACCCGTTAGGGTAGGCCGACACTGTCTCTGCCAAACATGCTGTGCTTCCATCTGTCCAAGGGTCACTTACTCCCCACCGGTGCCAAACGCACGCTTCCCTCTGCGCGGCTCTGACATCTTCTCGGTTTCTGCCTCTTTTTCATGGCTTGTCGAGATAAAAGGGAGAGTGCAGATGGAAACTGGGTCACTAGAGCTTTTTATAACCTCATGGAATTGTTGTGAGATTTAACCTTCAGGTGCTAGCTGCTGTTGCTAAAACTGTGGAAAAATGGGGGGAAGATATTGGTAAAGTAGGCTAATTGGTAACTGAGTCGCATTTGTGATTCAAATTAAAGAGAGGATTTCCCTTTCTGTGTACAGAATTGTTGCTTAGACACACCTTGTCATTGCTTAGGGAGTGCGATTATTTTTATTTTTTCTGTCATTTGTGTGTTTGGATATACAGTGTATATACACTGAACCAAATTATAAACACAACACTTTTGTTTTTGCCCCCATTTTTCATGAGCTGAACTCAAAGATCTAAGACTTTTTCTATGTACACAAAAGGTTTCAGGTACTTTATACACCACTGATAGTCTCTATGATCTATTTAGGCCTACAATGTTTTTGGGAAAAGCAGCCCTGCATTGTTGTGTAGATGGAGGCACTGCATGCCAGAATATTACAGTATTTCAAAATAAAACCTTTTTGCAAAGCAGTCTAGAATAAAAACTCTTTTTTTCCTGCATTTATTCGCTATTTTCATAACTTTGGAAAGCAAAAGACCAATTAGAAATAGCATTCGCAAACCTATTTCACTTCCGCAATATGACATATTTCAGAATTAAACAGAAAATTCAACAAGTATAAAGAAATTTTAGAAATGAACTGAATTGTGAAAAGGCAGGATTTATCAACCAATTATACTGTTAACTATTGGCTGTTAACTGTTTTAGATAGGCTCCTTAGCCTAAATGAATATAAATGAATGATGAACATGAACTAATAGGTAGTGATGTCAGCTGAAAGGGGCAGTTGTTTTACTTTGAAATGTGTAATTATTCAAAATAGGAACAATTTTGATGTCATTTTGACTTTAAAAACAAGTACACTCTTAAAAATAAAGACAATGCCAGCAATTCCATATTTGGTTCCCAAAAGAACCTTTCAGTGAACCGTTCTTAAAAGAACCATTTCATAGTGTGATGAATATTTTAATAATCTGAAGAACCTTTTTCGGTTATAAAGAACCTTTTTCTTTTTTTTTTTTTTTTGCAATGCAACGGTTCTATGGATGTTAAATGTTCTTCATGGAACCATCAATTCCAATAAAGAACCTTTATTTTTTTAAGAGAGTAAGGCTGGAAGTGCAGCCTACTTTTAAGCGTACTTGCATAAAGCTTATGCTGTCACTACTGATTATAAGCACTTGCATAAGATACTTTTGTTCCTTTTGATCAGCAAGCTGTGATATTACCATCCATTGGATTTCCACAGCACTAAAATCCATCATAAAACCTACAGAACACACATACACACACCAGATTCAAGGGCACTCGTCTGCTTAAGAGCCTGGCGAATCGTTCCCCCTTTCAACTCACCATAAAATGTTCCTTCTACGGTCTTTTAAAGTGCTGTGGTGAGTTGCTTAGAAAGGTCACAAGATGTGTATCTCGTCCCCTTGTGGCTGAGTGAAAGAGATAAATGGCTCCCCTCGGCACTCGGCCTGTCTTCAGTGGGTGTTACCCTGGAGGTTGATATCTTTTGGAGGACAGGATTTGGGGAGGCGGGCTGTAGAGTAACATGTCAACTCAGTGTCAAAGATATTATCATGTTTATTTAACGCAAGTAGGTGCGTTTCAAGTAGGTGTTTGAGTTTAAGAGCTCAGTTTATTTAAATGAGCTTTTAGGAAAATGAGATGCTGGAAGAAGTTCAATGCTGGATCTTCATCAGTGAGTCTTGGCTAAATACTGTAGGCCTCTTACCAGAGACTTGAGTGTCCACAATGAGAGTTTATCATCAGAGGACATATTGTGCTCAGTCAGAAGGCTCTGACCAGTTTCTATGGTGATTAAATAAAAGCTTGCCGTGTTGTGTGCTGTTTACAGTTGCATTTATGGCTTTATTATAAATCTATATTTTATTTCAGTCTACTGGAGATGGCTATGTTGGTTTTATATCCTACAAATTGCACTAAAATACAATTTCAAACCCAGTCTGTTTAAACATTAAAGGTAAAGCGTGTCATTTTGTGCCAGTAACACAACCAAATGGAACAGAAAAATAATGAGTTTGAAAAGTAGTTTTTTCACACTATACATATATATTTTTTAAATTATATATATATATATATATATATATATATACAGACTCGTGACAGATCACTGTAGCGCCTCAGTTCAAGCAGCATGTGAAGCAATCATCTCTTCATCTTTACTATTAATAGTGCAAAATAAACATGAATGAACATCAGAAAGTATCTTGTTTCAACCACGGAAAAACGTTTTTCAAGTTTAAGTTAACTGACGTTAATCTGCTCTCTGGTCTGGTTAGTTTGTCGGACAAAAATAGCAGATTTGACGTTATAATTGGTCAGATCGCCTGTCAATCAAACTTCCTTTGAAGGGTCAAACTGCCATTCAAAAGTAGCTTTGTTTTCTCACTGTACATAATTAAAAAAAAACATTTTTTTATATAAAATTTTGATATACTTTATATTTTATTTATAAAAATTGGGTGTACTTTGTATTTTATTTATAAAATGTATAGAAATATGTAAAATATGTGTATTTGTACTTGTCTTGCAAATTACGCTGCAACAGAAAAAAGTGACACCCTTTACCTTATTAATAGTAGTGATTTTGTTTGGGTATGCACTTTGATATGTA